TATGTGGAACGTACTAGTGTTATCGACCTGTGGCCAGCTTAAGGTTTCCTAGTTGACTGTTTTGTTGTTGAGCTTTCAATGTTTCACCAGGTAAGGCTTTCCGTGATGTTTCTAACATGAAATGCAAACTCTGAAAGAGAAGGCAATGCCTGGAGTCTGATAATCCTAAAACAACTGTTCTATTGCTCCTGGGACCAATTAAGACAGAGGAGGTCAAGCTGTACCTGTGGGAGGTGATGTGTCTCTGAAGTCTGTTGACTCAGCTTGTGAATTAGGATTAGTGCCTTGACATCAAGCAAACACATTAAAAACTAAGCTTGTTGTTTTTGGGAAAAGGACAACTGGTTGGATTCTGTTAACAGATGAGTGACCATATCTCAGGTTGCACTAACCAACCTCAGGGAATAAAATGATACTCGTTGTGATGGTTAAATTGATGTGTCGACTTGGTCAGGCTGTGGTGCCAAGTTGTTTGTTCAAACACTAATTTAGATGTTGTTGTGAAGGTATTTTTTAGATATGATTAACACTTAAATCATGAGGCTTTGAGTAGAGCCAATTACCCTCCATAATGTGTGTCTCGTTCACTCAGTTGAAGGCCTTCAGAGCAAAAACTGAGGTTTGCAAAAAACGAAGGAATTCTCCCTCAAGATTATAAACAGAAATCCTGCCTGAGTTTCCAGCTTGCAGATTTTGATTTCAAAGCTGTAATGTTACTCTTGTTGAATTTTTAGCCTGTTGGCCTGCTATATAGATTTTGGAATCGTTATCAACCCACAATTGTATTATCCAATTCCTTAAAATAAATCTCTCTATAATGTCCCATTAGTTCTATTCTCTTGAGAACCCTGACCTATACTCATTCTGTGTATTCCAAATGAAGTGCTCTCCCTGACCAGACAGATTGGTCTCTAGCCTAGTTGTCTGCAAGCACGAGTGAGATAAGCATGATCTATTCTCCAAGAATGAAGGGCTAGAGTAAAGACTATATTTCCCCCTCCATCTCCCTCCCTGTCCTTTGTCCTTATCTGAATCTTTCCAATGCACTCTTATGCTTCAAGAGTGTTACCTACTTTAATACTTTTATGTCTCCAAAGTAGAAATTAAATAGAGTGCCTAAGAGGATGCAGGTAATTCAAATCAAAAGTTCCCTTTCTCTAACATAATTTATGGGTACAATTCTCTTCCTTGAGATCTTGGCTAAAGAAGAATTTTCTATAAAATGTTACTCTGCTATTTCTGACTATCCTTGGTCAAATTACTGATTTATTATTTTAGATGGTTTTGACATGGTTTAGAATGCAAAGGTACCACCATTAATATGTATTTATTTACAGAGAGCCCATGGGCCCTAGCCCATTTCTGCACCTACAGGTGAGTTTGATCTCATTTAAAAGCTAAACATCTCAGTGGCTAGTCAGATATTAGGAATGCTACTAGGAAGGATGCATCAAATCAAATGTTTCTACTTAGTGTTATTTTGGAATCACAGACCACATCTATACAAAATGGAGTGACAAATATCAATTTATGTAAGGAACACAATGAAGCTACATAATTCCTCTTTAGGTTGGTTGATTCTGTAACCAAGCCTTAAAAATTGACATTGGCATTGTACCACTGCCTGTGAAGAGAGAATGAGAGAGAACTTCAAATCTGTCTCTAAATAAACCATCCGTGGCTTAATTCAATGGAGAATGATACCAGCCTCCTTATGATTCAAATAGGATTTAGATGTTTTACTAGGCGTGCTACAGGATAATTTTTAAGTTGAATGGGGGACATATAGCATTGGGGCAAAAAATAATAAAATATTACATTTAAATCAGGTAACCTGCCATTTGTGACAACATGGATGGAGCCTGAGAGCACTTAAATGAGACCAAACCCACCTGAAGGTGCAGAAATGAGCCAGGTCCCATGGGATCTCTGCAAATCTATCTATCATCTATCTATCTATCTATCTATCTATCTATGTAAAAGCCTAATATGCAAATTGTCCCCACAGGAGTTTGACCGGGAGAATGATGACTCACTATGACGTGGGCTGAAAACCAGGGGGTAGCACAGAATGAAGGCAGCCCCTGGCTGGCAGCCGGAAGAGCCCAATCAGCCCTGATCACCGGCCAGGCCTAGGGACCCTACGCGTGCACAAATTTCGTGCACCAGGCCTCTAGTAAATATATATGAATGGTGGTACTTTTGCATTATAAGCCATGTCAAAACCATATAAAATAATAAATCAGTAATTTTACCAGGGACTGTCAGAGATAGCAGAGTAACATTTTACAGAACATTCTTCTTTAGCCAAGATCTCAAGTAAAATAAGTCAGAGAAAGACAAATATATGATTTCACATACATGTGGAATCTGAAAGCAAACAAACAAACAAAAACCAAGCTCATAGATACAGAGAACAAATTGCTAGTTGATAGAGGTAGGGGTGGACAAAAATGGGTAAAGGGGGTCAAAAGATACAAACTTCCAGTTATAAAAGAAATAAGTCATAAGGATGTAATGTACAGCATGGTAGTTATAGTTAATATTTGAACTAGATATATTGCATATTTGAATATTGCTAAGTGAGTAAATCTTAAACGTTCTCATTACAAACAAAGGAAATTATAACTATGTATGGTGACAGATGTTACCTAGACATATTGTGGTGATCATTTCACAATATATACAAACATTGCACCATAGTTGTACACCTGAAACGAATATCATGTGATATTTCATTATACCTCAATTAAAAACAGTATCAACAACAACAAAAACAAACAAAAAACTGGATGAACTGGTCCAATATAGAAAGCAAGCAGATATGAAAGCATAATTTAAGGGTAGCATTGGAATTGTTTTGCTATTTTAATTTAGCAACTTGCTTTTGGGATCAGGTGACAGGATGTATTTTAATGACCTGTTTCTTTGTCTCCACATTTTGGCTGCTTCCCTGTGTTGATAGAATGGCTTTCTGTGCTAGGTGTCCTATAGGGCCCAGTGGCTCAGCCTCCCCAGTTACCTGAGGTGGACACTCTTGGTGCACCCCTTTGTGGGCTGTGTGCACAGTCTTGTTGTAGTTAAGGCTTGATTGTTGTTGGTATCACTGGGAGGAATTGACCTCCAGGCCAACTGGCTGTGAGAATCAGCTGTGTCTGCAGTGGGAGAACTTCTG